TGAACTATAGTCTAAACTCAGAGAATCCCCCTTAATAAGCCCGAGAATACTCCCCTATGTAATCCTGTATATAATCCCCTTCAAGGAGTTTAGACTATAGCTCATATGGTACTTTCCCAAAATGAGGTTACCCCAACATAGACCCTAATGTACTCTAGATATATAAACTTTAAGGAGTTTAGAGAATGGCTCACATGTCTTCTGGCCCTTTGTTGAGCCAGGCAAGAGATGCCATGGTGGGGCTGGCCACTTCTGGCCCTGGGCCACCTTGTCTGCGGTTTAGGGTTTAGGGTTTAGGGGTTTAGGGTTTAGGGGTTTAGGGTTTAGGGTTTAGGGTTTAGGGTTTAGGTGGGTTTTAGAGGGATTATAGGGTATATCTTGGGGTTATGTTGGGACAGTATACCTAGGGGATAGTGGAAAAGAGAATGGAAACTACTATAATGGGTTTAGGGTTTAGGGTTTTGCGTTGGGGTTATATTGGGGATAATGGAAAAGAAAATGCAAACTACTACTACATGGGTTATATAGGGAATATATGTGGATAATGGAAAAGAGAATGGAAACTACAGGGATTATGGGGGTTATGCAGGGTATATATTGCGGTTATACTGGGATACTGGAAAAAGTGGAAACTACTGTTATGAGAAGCCACAAACATTTTGTTTTTCCATTTTCCGCTGCAGCCTCAAATGCGCACGTCGCCGCAGAGGCGTTGTGGTTTTGATCACCTGCTGTGTTACCTGCTTGGTACGCATGGGATGCGATTCTTGGCAAGCAGACAGCAAGCAACTCTGGCGGCGACACTCGTTCCTGCAACGTTTGCGAGGGAATTGCAGAAGCTGAGCTGGATGTTCTTTCCACCTTAGGATCTGCTGTGGAAGATCATCTGCTGTCCGTGCCGGAGCTGCTGTCGCTGCTCCCTGGCCGGTCAGGATGAACATCCCGAAATCTAGGGTCTTCGTGGTCCGAGATGCAGATTCTGTAGACTTAGCTGATCAACTCTTCGCAGCTTGCATGTTTTTGCCGGCCCTCCATGGCACTGATGAACGTCTTGCATGGTCTTGCTGATGTCTGAGGCCTTTGTGGCAGCTCGAAGTGAAGGTGGAAGCGTCCAAGACTCAAGTCCGGACTTGTGGGAGGTCTGACCCGAACTTCTTGAGTGTTTCCCATGACTAGTGCTGGCGTCCCGCAACCAGGACTTTTCCGTCGGCTGCAGCTAGTGAGCACCTTTTGCCAGAGGCACATCTGCAGAGAGATGCACAGATCTCCGCTCCTGCTTCTTTCGGTGAGCTAGCTGACTTGCAATAGCCAAGCAGGACATGCCGACAGTGTACAGCCAGCACTCAGAATTTCAGGATGCACCTTGCTTCCTGATGAAATTTGATAATGCTTGTACAGGATTATTGCATACAAGGCGCCATGCAGTGTAAAGCCTGCCATGTGTGGCAGCAGAGTGTCATTGGCGGACAGATTCAAGAAATCCGTGTCGGCACTTCGGCGCTGTAGAATCGACTGCAACCCCCAAGGCCGAAGTCGCCCACGCTGAAGCCAGCGGCACGAGAGCTGAAGCTGTGAAGGCGAGTCTGGGTTTAGGGTTTAGGGTTCAGGGTTGAGGGTTCAGGGTCTGCGCAGCTTCCAGGAAGTCACCAGCTTCAATCCCAAGATTGGAAACCATTGTTTCCCATATAAGCCGTATTCCATTTTATATCCCATGCTCTTTTCCATCTCGTATGAAACCACATTTCCAATACCCTTATAGATCCTCAAATCAGTTCTATATAACCTTAGAACCCCGTATACACCCCCGTATATCCCTATCCTAGCTAATCCTTTCCCCCGGATATTAAGACTCCTTACCCCCATAACATTAAATGCTGCCATTGTGATACATCAAAATATATGTTTAACACTAGGGGGGCGGGGGGTTTTAAGCCCAAAGCCCTAAATCCTAAACCCTAACCCTAAACCTTAAGCCTAAACCCTAACCCTAACTCTAAACCCTATAAACCTTAACCCTAAACCCGAAGCCTTCAAACTAATTATAATGGAGAAAAGGTCCGGAAACAAACAAAAAACATAAACCCTAGTGGCTCAGGTGTCTCAATCTGGCTTAGCCGTCGTCCTGATGCTGATGGGCTTCGCGACGGCCAGTCCAACCCCTGCTGACTGGGTCAGTTTAGGGTTTAGGGTTTAGGGGACTATTGGAACAAATTAGTACCCGATGTAGGTAATATAGGGTTTAGGGATTAGGTTTTAGGGTTTTATAGGGATCCACATAGCCCAATGTAGGTCAGATTTACAGGCTTTTGGGCCCAATGTAGGTATTATTGTATGCTTGGATCTTTAGGGGCAGGGTTTATAGTGGTTTTGAGGGCTTATAGGACGCTGCGGAGCTTTTAGAGCCCGATAGGGTTCATTGGGGTTGTCCCAGAATGTGTAAAAACAGGGGTGTAGAAGATCAGAATCCCTTTTGCTAGCTAAGCATGCCTCATCCGGCATGGGGAATGATGGGGACTTCAGTTCTAAGATCTTGAATTCCAACTGATCTGACGAAGTTTGACTAACGGTCCTCCTACAGGCCGGGAACAAACTTGAGAGAATTGAAAGATCACTTCAGGGGAAAAGAATGAAAGACTGGGTTCAGCCTAAGACTGTCACATCGGCATCCCTACCTTATTCCTTGGCCTTCTTTCATGTTCCCTTGCAGTGGTCCGTGCAGATTGCTTGGAAACAGCCATATACTTAATCCTCAACTGTTCAAATTCTGTTGCCCTCGGGCTCCTCCAGTGGACCTATTCTGGGTTTAGAGTTTAGGGTTTAGGGTTTAGGGTGGAGGACATGTCAAGATACCTGTTTAGAGGCGCAGTTGTTGCATCATCGTTGAGCTAAGCATGTGGTGGAGACCTTTGAAGCTGAAATCACGCCGCGCCTCCTGGCTCCAAGGTGGACTTAATACATTTACAGAGCTACTTAAGTACTATCATTACACCAGTTATTGTTACTACTCTTCCTCTTACTATTATCATTATTGTTATTATTGTTTTTATCATTACTACTTCGACTACTATGATTGCTGTAGCATCTTCAGCAGATTCGGGAATCTGAGCAGCATGCGAGCCTGCGAGCGCAATGACCCGCTTCCTGATCATAGCCGACAAGCTTAGAGCCAAGGGGTTTGCTTCTTAACAGCCACATGAAAGACGCAAAGCCAATTTATACTTCTTTCCTCTGCTCTGTCGGAGCACGAGAACAGCAACACCAACCAAGCCAGCAGCATAGTTGAAATCAGCGTCCAGACGCGAGCGAATACCGCTTGCATGCTTTGGATTCGCATAACGGCCGCGCCCTTGGAGCGGCTGGCCCCAGGCGGAGTAGTGGCAACGTAGCAATAACACGTTGCGATGCAGTGGGGCCTTCATGGGGCACATTGCAGCAGTGAACACGATGGCAGAGTCTCATAGATTGCTTGCCCACTATCCACACAACGAATTTGCAATTCAATGTTGCCTCCGGTGCAGAAACTTGACCCCGTGTGTTGTCGCAGCTACTGTTTGCTCCCTCATCGCAAGAAGTGGCCCTGGTCAGATGCCTTCGGATCCAGTGCCAGACAGCGCGGATGGCGCCGAAGGTACAGAGGCCTCCGATGAGGACACGCGGGCGTAGCATTTTCAGGGGTTGAAGTCTTCTGCAGGTGGATCGTGTAAATTAGAGAGCACAGCAAAGGTCCTACCTGAACTGACACATTGAGTAATGCCGCTTTTATAGCAGAATCCTCGTTGCCGGCCTTTGCTTCTGCCCGCAACCCAGGGTTCTGGGTAATCCTCACATAGACTGCCGGATCCCCAGTTTGCATAAGCCATGTTGCAGGGGTCCGACGAGGAAGAGGTGCGTGAATCAAAGCCCATCTGTATATCCGCTGGCAAGCCTTTCTCCCATGTATCTGTGTCACTGGCTAGTAACTCGACTCTGTGTGATGTAACCCATATCAAAAGTTCTTAAAATATCCCGGCCACAAGCCAGAGCCCATTAAACAATCTTGGGGAAGTCTAAGCAAAAAATCCTACCAAGCACTTTATCAGCTTCATCCATTTTACGATTCCCCCCAGGATACGGGCCCAAAGGCCAATAGCCTGTCAAGGGCCTCACTTATTGGGCCGTCTCCCAATCCTAAGTTTTGGTGGTGAGCCTGGACAGGGAACCCTGCCAAGCATGTCAGAGGCCTCCCAAATGCAAGCAAAAACCAGTAGATAGACCCAAAGTGTCCCGTGACCCCACGAGACTTGTGGTTCAACCCAAGCTGCTGTTGAGCAAAGGTGCCAAACCTGCAAAATAGTAGAGCACCAGGAAGTAGTCACGGGCGTTTTGCTTAGTGGGGCGTTAGATGCTCGAAGTAGTATACACGTAGGATGTAGGGGTGCCGGCGCACATGCGCCTCGAATGAAGGAAGAGAAGCACATATACATGCTAAATGAAACGGAATTCCGGGAGGGTGGGGTGATGCCAAACATATGGAGTAGGAGATACCAAACACATGGAGTAGGAGGGACCTTCCCCACCCGCCGGCTCAACCCAGTCATTCAACCCTAACGTCTAAACCCCTTAACCCTAAACGTTAACCCCTACAAACTAAAAACTCCTAATGCCCAAACCCTTGAACCCAAAACCCTAAACCTCTAAACTCTAAACTCCAATCCCTAATTCCTAAACCCAAAGACTAAAACCCAAAGCCAGGAGCTGGCAGATGCCAGCCCTGGCTTGGCGGGCCTCGAGCGGACGATGCACTCCGTGGCCGTTTTCAGCGAGCCGCTATGGCAAGAGATATTGGGTAGTTTAGGGGTTTAGGGCTTAGGGGTCCAGGGTTTTAGGGTTGAGGGGTTTTCCAAAATGGTTCAGGGCTTAGGTCGAGGGTCTAGGGGTTTTCCAAAATGAGGGGAACCTTGTAAAATGCTATTATCCATATTATGGGGACCCCAACAAGGCACCCCTAATTCTGGGAAACCCCATTTAGGGCTTTCAGTTTGCCACCTCAACAAAGGGTTGAGGGTTTGGGGATATTATCCTGAGTATTGATAATCAAATGGAATCCCAATGGAACATGAAATGCAAACTAGCGAAATAAAGGGAGCTGTATAGAGGGTTGATCTAGGGCAGAAGATCTGGGGGGTTGTTGAAATCATAGCTGAGGTATCCTAGATATTCGGGGCCATACTTTATTGGGGACCATCAAAAGGGACCGTATCGAATTCTGATTGGGTCCTTTCTGGAGTTTTTGCGGGTAGTAAGGACGAGGTGCAGGGGGACCCGGATTTGGAGAAACGTCCCGTTGGGTATTGGGGATTTCCAACAAGAAAGCAATTCTAGAGGGCTTGATCTGAGGATCCTGATGTCTTAGGTAGGTAAGGACCTTGGTATCGGTCTGTGTCTGCTCCAAAGCTAGGCACAGGTGAATTGAAGTTGAAGCTGAGGTGCAGCTATGAGTTTGTAGAAGCGATCATGCTACACGTCCGGAAGATCTTGCTGCATACCGGCAAGGCCTCCCGTGCGAACGGTCTGGGTTGGATGTTTCCCCCTGCTTGTAAAGGGCATTAGTTGAAGCCGTAAAGAAACTACTATAGTATATTGGGGTATATATTGGGGTAATTTTTGGGTTTATTGGGATAATGGAAAATAAAATGGAAACTACTATATAGTATATTGGGGTATATATTGGGTAATATTTGGGTTATATTGGGATAATGGAAAATAAAATGGAAACTAGTATATTGGGGTATATATTGGGGTAATATTTGGGTTATATTGGGATAATGGAAAATAAAATAGAACTAGTATATTGGGGTATATATTGGGGTAATATTTGGGTTATATTGGGATAATGGAAAATAAAATGGAAACTAGTATATTGGGGTATGTATTGGGGTAATATTTGGGTTATATTGGGATAATGGAAAATAAAATTGAAACTACTATAGTATATTGTACTTCAAGAATTTTTTTCTCTAAGCGGGCCTTGGGTCCATCATTGATCATTGCAGGGGTAGCAGCGCAAGTAAGCCTTACACAGCTCGTGCAGAGGTTTGGCCAAGCTTCTAGGGCAGCGCT